GGTCCAGTGGTTCTTGAGAAGAAGATTTTTAAAGATTTTTCCTATATATTTCAATGTAAAACTTGGATTCCCTATTGTGGCCCCGCCCTACCCCCGGGGGTCATGATTTTTACAATTTAGAATCTACACTACCCCAGGATGCTTCCACATAAGTTTCAGCTTTTCTGGCCCAGTGGTTCTTGAGAAGAAGATTTTTAAAGATTTTTCCTATATATTTCAATGTAAAACTTGGATTCCCTATTGTGGCCCCGCCCTACCCCTGGGGGTCATGATTTGAACAATTTAGAATCTACACTACCCCAGGATGCTTCCACATAAGTTTCAGCTTTTCTGGTCCAGTGGTTCTTGAGAAGAAGATTTTTTAAGATTTTTCCTATATATTTCAATGTAAAACTTGGATTCCCTATTGTGGCCCCGCCCTACCCCCGGGGGTCATGATTTGAACAATTTAGAATCTACACTACCCCAGGATGCTTCCACTTAAGTTTCAGTTTTTCTGGCCCAGTGGTTCTTGAGAAGAAGATTTTTAAAGATTTTTCCTATATATTTCAATGTAAAACTTGGATTTCCTATTGTGACCCCGCCCTACCCCCGGGGGTCATGATTTTTACAATTTAGAATCTACACTATCCCAGGATGCTTCCACATAAGTTTCAGCTTTACTGGTCCAGTGGTTCTTGAGAAGAAGATTTTTAAAGATTTTTCCTATATATTTCAATGTAAAACTTGGATTCCCTATTGTGGCCCCGCCCTACCCCCGGGGGTCATGATTTTTACAATTTAGAATCTACACTACCCCAGGATGCTTCCACATAAGTTTCAGCTTTTCTGGCCCAGTGGTTCTTGAGAAGAAGATTTTTAAAGATTTTTCCTATATATTTCAATGTAAAACTTGGATTCCCTATTGTGGCCCCGCCCTACCCCCGGGGGTCATGATTTTTACAATTTAGAATCTACACTATCCCAGGATGCTTCCACATAAGTTTCAGCTTTACTGGCCCTGTGGTTCTTGAGAAGAAGATTTTTTAATGACCCCACCCTATTTTTGTCTTCTCTTGATTATCTCCCCTTGTGAGGGGACTTGGCCCTTCATTTTAACAATTTAAATTCCCCTTCACCCAAGGATGCTTTGTACCAAGTTTGGTCAAAATTGGCCCAGTGGTTCTTGAGAAGAAGTCAAAAATGTGAAAAGTTTACAGACGGACGGACAGACAGACGGACAGACAGACGGACGGACGGACGACGGACAAAATGTGATCAGAAAAGCTCACTTGAGCCTTCGGCTCAGGTGAGCTAAAAAGTGAGGTCAAGGTCAAAGGAAAGGTCAAGGTCAAAAAATATTGATGCAGTTGAATAGCTTTCATCAGTATGTATCAGCATTTGAAGTTTGATAACACTATCTTGAATGGTATCTTTAGAACTGAGCAAAACACTAATTTAAGATATGAGGTCAAGGTCAAAGGAAATGTCAAGGTCAAAAAAAGTTGATGCAGTTGCATAGCTCTCATCAATATCTATCAGCATATGAAGTTTGATAAAAATATGTTGGATAGTTTCTTTGAAACTGAGCTTTGAACAGAGCTAAACGCAAAGTGTGACGGAAGGACAGAAGGACGGAAGATGGACATGACAAACACTATATGCCCCGGCAATATTCATGGCGGGGCATAAAAAGCTTTAAAAATGCCCATCAGGACATTCACTTGTATACTCAAGTATTAGTGATATTTTTTAAAATGTTGTTATTTTCTGTTATCATTTAAAGTCTCCTAAGGCATTTACTTAATCTACAAATTATTGAACTGCTCTCTGGTGTGCTATAACATCATTAAATGCCACAATTTTTTTTGTGTTGTGTTTACCACTTTCCCAATTTCAAATGCTCAGGAAATTGCCAAAACTTAAGCAAATGCCTTGAAATTTTCCAAATGATGACATAATAGATAGTGCATTAAAAATATGACAATTTTTACCCAAATCTTAACTATTTAATACTTTTATTTCGAAATAATACTCACATATTTCCTGATAAAACCCTGATATTTTTGATCATGCACAGTAGAACCATATACTCAGTGCATATTCAAGTATAATAAAATCCTTCATTTTATGATGTTTTTTTATGTGTTTTCTGAAATCTTGCCTAATACGATCTAAACTTAAAAGTCCCTTTAGGATATATCATTGTTTAAAATGTTGTTTAATCCGGTATATTGTCTAATATGGCCAAATTCTCTGGTGCCAGTGGTGTCCAGATTAGACCAGTTTTACTGTACTAATATCTATACTAGGGTTTTTTTTTAAAAAGCAATCCAAAGCAGAGATAGTTTAAACATTGCAGGGTTGGCCGGGAAATACCAGTGGTGGGAATTACCAGTGGTAAATACCGGTATTTCCCGTCCCGGGAAATACTACAAATTTCTCTAAAGTGGGAAATACATGTACTGGGAAATACAAAGTTAAAAGTTTTTTTCTTTCTTTAATTCATTAAATCTTATACAAAAATAAAATAAACATAAAAACAAAGATGAATAATATGGAATATGTCTCAAATTGCAATTGAAATATTCAGAATGTATCACTACTCCAGGTCCCATTCCCATAAGCATTCTGTGTAAAACTGAAGTTTTCCAATTCAAGTTTCTTTTCAATTTTGTAAAATTATTAAGTTTATTAATTAAAAATCTAAGAACAAAAAAAACCCAAACTTGTTTTAATCCTTCGATAAACACTGTAGTTATTACAAACAATCATGTTGTTTTAACAAATTGCTCTAGACAGTTTTGTGCTCCTGTTTTAAGATATAATTACCTTGAGTCGAACTGAAAGGCTTCTTCTTAGTTTTGATATTAATACCATACTCTACATTTAAGAATTTTCTTAGATAAAACCCATTTGGGATCTTTGGGTTCATTTCATGGACCTTTATAGACTACATCTGTCTCAAGCATGAAACAAATGACACTCATGACTGGTATATGAATAATTATACTATGTTATGATTATACAAAATGAATTACTTGGAAACCAGAATTTTTTAAATCAGGGACAATGATGCCAGGTAGATATCTTAGCCAATAAGGTGTACTACTTGTCAATATGAACGAAATATGTTAGTAGCTATTTCTTATTTCCCAGTATTTCCCGGGAAATACCAGTAATTCCCGGTAATTACCAGTATTTCCCACCATCCTGGGAAATATGAGTATTTCCCAGTTTTTTGCCAACCCTGAAACATTGCTGCGTTTGAACATCCATAAGCAAAAGATGTATTCTCATTGATTGAGTAACTGTATATAGTGTTAAATCCAGACCCTAAAAAGGGCATGGTAATCCAATGATCAAAAGGGCACTTTATGCTGCGACAAGTTTTCATGAGGGCACTTTTTAACGTATTTGAAATTACAAATATATTCTTTATCATGTTTATGTACTTAAATTATTATTTAATACTGAAATCTTTAGTTATACAAGTATCTATAAGAAAAATGTATAAATCTGTCAGCTTAATTAATTTAATACACACTGACAGGGCAATTATTGCCAAAATTTAAATTCAAATTTTTTAATCAAGAAATTAGTATGGTTATCAAGGTTATGCTTAAAAAGTAATAGGTGTGAATCTTTTTGTCACTTGCTCAAGAATTATTTTAGTTTGGAGTATGACTTTTTTCCCCTTGCTTTAATATTGTTATTTGTGTATGAGGTAAATAACAGAACAAAATTGCAATGGGGGGGGGGGGTTAAATAATAAATGTAGAGGGCATTCTCTTTATTTTGAAAATAATCTACCAACAAAATCAAGTGAACACTGATCATACCAAAAAATTAAACTTGTAATAATATATAAATTGGTTAAAACTTTTTTTCTGGCTTAGAAACATTAAGCCTCTGGGTGTCAATTCAAAAAGTTGGAACACAGAATCATTGAACATGAAAGAAACTAACTTCATACTTTGTTGTTTCCTAGCCCATTTCACACATAATATTGTTTTTTTTTTTGTTTTTTTGTTTTTTGTTTTTTTTTTTTTACTGTACATTGTAAGTTGACTTAATTCATCAGCAGATTTATTTTTCACATTTCTTCATCTACTCTGTTTTTTCTACTTTCAAGTTAAAAAAAACGATCCTGATTTAAAATGTGTAACATTTTAATTTACAAATTAATCTATCTGTGACATTGGGCTAATTCTTGCATAATCAATGCTATCAAATGATATTTTCTCCTGTTATCTCTTATACCCTGACAGCCTGAGGCATGTTACCTGGCCAGGTGGCTGTGTGCGTTCAAGCGAGAAGTGATTTCCTGTCCTGAATTCACACTTTGCGTGCATTAAATAAACAAAGGAGCTAATCAGCATGCACTGAATAAACAAAGCCGCTGGTTCATCTTGCCTCTGCTGGGCATATTTATTTATTTTTGCAAGGAAAAAAGGGCATGGCGCTGGAAAAAAGGGCATGGCGCCGAGGGAAAAGGGCATGGCGCCGCGCCATGCTAGTTTGCTTTAGATTTAACACTAGTATATGAGTTTGTGTGCGGTTAGGCATGGATAAGTATTATTACTTCGCATTATGCTGAATAATTACCAATCAATTTTCATGTTAACCAGAACTGGTCTTCTTTGTTATTTTATTCAAGAAGTAACCGTTTGGTCACAAATTAACTGTTGTATATAGCCCCAAAACTTTTAGAATTTTGATTGCAATTGCGCAGAAAAAGACACATTTTAAAGAGTGATTATTTCATGAATTCTTTTCAGATGAGTTTAAATTTGAAATTTATCACTTCATCAAAGTGCGATTTTCTGCACATCCAGAGAAAAATGCTAACTTAAGAAATAAATTTGATTTGGTAGCCAAATAAAGCTACTTCAGGTAGGTAAATAAAGCTATGTAGGTAATTCAAGCTACGTAGCTATAAATTTAGTGATTGTACCAGACCTGCTTGTATCTAAGCAAATTTGTAGATAATTTTGTTGAAGAAAATATAAAATGATTACCCTCCATTCATGGCATATGGATTGAAGTAAGTCTGTTTTGGGGCATAAGAAGACTCTTCGTTTATCAGTGGGTCCATCATCTTGCTTTGATTAGTTTTTTCTTTTTTTACACAGAGAAGTGACTTGCTATCTTGAAAAGATTTACTTCCGGTTAAAATATTTTCAATAAATCGTACGCTTATTTGTACCGACAATACGTATTTTGGCGCTATTTTCCATCATTTGTCTTTTCAAATAATATTTTAATAAACATTACAAAGTGCTTTGATTTCAGGAATTGGATTTATCAAATAAAGTTTTTTTTAAAAAATCTCAAATTCTTCGAAAAACTAAGAACGAATTGTCTTGCATCGAAACGCATGCTGGTCGTACCTTTTTGCTTGTTTACTTTAATTAGTAGTCAGTGGAGAATATGGAATTTTCAGACGATGAAGAGGAATTGAATGTTCCCCAAGTTAAGAAACCTATAATATATGGAAGTTTGGAGGAGAGAGAAAAACAGAGGCTTGCAACAAGCAGTTCGTCTGGATCACTGGCCTCCGACGCCATAAATGCCGGCAAAGCTGCAGGGAATATAAACATTACAGATGGAGGGTCGTATGATATTGCAGAGAGAGATCCTAATGAAGAACAATCAGAACTTCTAGCAGAATTAGAAAAAAGAAAGAAAGCCAGACAGATCCAGGTATCGACGGACGACTCTGAAGTCAAGGCTAATCTCAGGCAACTGGGAGAACCGATCTGTTTGTTTGGGGAGGGCCCAGGTGAGAGGAGAGAACGTCTCAGAAAAACTTTAGCGGAGTTGGGATCAGAGGCAACGGGTGCATTTTTAAAGAAAGGACAGGAACAAGTAGAAAAGAAAACCAAAGAAGATGAGAATGTTACTTGGTAAAACTTTTAGATTTATAGAATCATATCACATATGACATATGTGCATTATTTTTTTTTTTTAGATTTCTCAGGAAATTACAATGTTAGCTGCAGAACTGTAGCTCTCTGCTTGAGAAAATTCGGACAGACAAAGCAGAGAGCTACAGATCCAAGCATTGTAAAAACCTTCGATTTACGCCGCCGCTTTTTTGTCGCTCGCTTCTGGTATTATCTCTTGTATATTATGCTTTGCCCCACTTTAAAAATAGTATCCGATAATTAACCATTTATTTTACTCCTATTCTCGATACCTTATATACCTCTCAATGGTCCCAATCAGCCCCTAATGGTTTTGGAATGTCGGTTTATTTAAAATCCCATTCCGACGTGCATGTTGGGGGTCGTGTGAAAAAAAGTCTTTCAAAAAACATATAATTGACGAGAAAATGTAAATATAAAATTCAGGAGGTTCAGGTATCATGTATAATGTCTACAAAGAATACAATATGTTTGTAAAAAAGAAATGAAATAAATAAAACTCGGGCATGTTATTTAAGGATGAAACAAACGTCGACGTCGGAATGCATTTTTTTTTTACTGATATTCAAAAACCACATACAACCGTCTGGAACCGTTGAAAGGTAAATAAGGTATCGGGAATAGGAGTAAAATATATGGTTTACTATTGGATACTGTTTTTAAAGTGGGGGAAAGCATTAAATACAAGAGATAATACCCGAAGCGAGCGACAAAAAAGCGGCGACGTAAATGAAAGGTTTTTACAACGCTTGGATCTGTAGCTCTCTGCTTTGTCTGTCCGAATTTTCTCAAGCTGAGAGCTACAGTTCTGCAGCTATTACAATGTTTGACTTTTTTTTTGGTAGGGGATAAAGTTTTGGTTGCAAGATCTGGTGTAAATGAATTCACATATAAGTTTTTCACATTGAAGCATTTCTTTCTTGAATGATACTAAAAAATGAAATAATTGGTATATTCTTGCAGGTATCATGAAGGGACTTCTGCCCTAAAAGAAGCAAGGATATGGATAGCAAAATACTCTATTCCAAAAGCCAAACAAAGAATAAAAATGCAGAAAGAGGAGAAACTTATACCAACTGCTAAGAAAAATGCACAGGTTCAAGATCTCCATAAACGAGTCAGAGCAGTCACCAATGAATGCAGTCAGATAGGAGATGTCCGCCCCCTGTCATATTGTGAGTTTAGTCCTAATGGTAAAATCCTTGCTGTAGCATCATGGTCAGGCCTATGTAAGCTTTGGTCAGTCCCTGACTGCCAGTTAATCAGACAACTAAGGGGACACAACTGTAACGTAGGTGCCATAGTATTCCATCCCAAAGCTACTTTAACATTGGAAGATGATGCTTGCTGCATGGCCTCCTGCAGTCAGGATGGGGCTGTAAAACTGTGGAATTTGGTGAGTGATGAGCCAGTAGCAGATATTGAGGGCCACAGTCCCTACAGAGTGTCACGTCTGAAGTACCACCCCTCAGGGCGATTCCTGGGTACCTGCTGTTTTGACAACTCCTGGAGACTCTGGGATTTAGAAGTCCAAGAAGAAATCCTCCATCAGGAGGGCCACAGTAAACCTGTTTATGACATTTCCTTTCAAGGGGATGGTGCTTTAGCAGCTACAGGAGGTCTGGATGCATTTGGAAGAGTTTGGGATCTAAGAACAGGGAGATGTATCATGTTTCTAGAGGGTCATATTCAGTCTGTGTTCTCCATTGATTTTGCTCCTGATGGTTACCATGTAGCAACAGGAAGTGAAGATAACTCTGTAAGAATTTGGGATCTAAGGCAAAGAAAATGTGTATACACCATTCCTGCTCACAAGAATTTAGTAAGTAAAGTGAAATTCCAACCTGATCATAGTAACTATCTAATAAGTGCATCTTATGACTGTACTGCCAAAGTTTGGGCCCATCCAACTTGGGCACCACTGAAAACATTAGCAGGGCATGAGGGAAAAGTGATGGGAGCAGACATTTCTCCTGATCTTCAGTACATTGCAACTGTGTCTTATGACAGAACTTTTAAACTGTGGACCACTGAAATGCAGGGAGGAATTTAAGATTGTTTTAGAGAATCAAATTTACAAATATATGTTGAACATCAACATATATTTTACATTTTAAGAGCTTGCTCATATTCTATGCAGTGAAACTGATCATACCCATGTATGTATATTTTTCATGCATGATTCACAGATCACTTATAATAAAAATCATTTGCATTCATAATTTGCATGTCAGCTTTAAGATTTGTGAAGCAATAATTTTAGATTTAGTCTGGACCAAGATTAAACTTAGAAATATCAGATGAGTCAAGATAATCAGAGTTAAAAAAAACCCATAAAGAATTAATGGTTGTGACTGCCAACTGACTTCAATATAATCCTTGTATTCAAAATATCAGTGTTCAGGATGAGGAAGTTTAACTGTGTTTAAGGACTTACGCAACGTACCTTACCTACTGATAATTTTTCAAGATATTCTTAATTTAAGATTATAGTGCCATCAGATGTTCGTCGACAAAAAATCAGCATGCATTACCAGGGGTTTTGAAAAGATATCCATTGATGAAATTTCTTGTATAATTCAAAGAAAAATACACAAAAATTACTAAACACATATTCTAGATGTTTTGTTTATCCAAACTTGTTTTAGACGAAGTGTACAACAGCATATATAGACATACAAATGTAGCACACAATTCCTTTAAGTATTGGAACTCTTCAAGTCCAGGGAAAAAGACAATAAAGTTCAAACTACGTTGCGTATGTCCTTAAAAGGTGTTAAACCTCAATTCTGGTTGCCCACATGATGCAGTGGTTGGAGTGTTCCCTCTAGATTCACGGAGTAAGGAGTTGATCTCCTATTCATGGGCATAGAAACTGGTGTGGGGAGGGGAAAGTTAGTTTATGCTTTTGCTTGTCAAGGAATTTTTGCTTGGTAGCCCCCCCCCCCCCTTGAAAATGTTAGGTTGTGCTCCCCCCCCCCCCCCCCCCCCCCCAAACTGAAATTGCTTCCTAGGACCTGACTTTTTCATTCCAAACTAGATTATGAGGCTAGAATTTTTGCACTGCCTGGTGATGCTTGCATATTAATATCACTAAGATATGTTAAACTTTGATCCCCTCAGTAATGTGGCTCAACTCTTACATCAAGGGTCATAAGTTGAGCTTTTGCCGAATTGAGGATGCTTGCTTATCATGGCCTGCTGTTCTTGGGGAGAAAATTTATAAGATTTTTCCCTTTATTTTGTGATGTAGAAATTTGATTCACAATTGTGGTTACAACTAACCCTTGGAGGCCATGAGGGGTTATCACTGAGTTTTGTCTTTACTGGCTCAGGGGTTCTTGATATTTTGAAAAATGCCAAATATTCATAAATATCTCTTGACAAATGGCATGGTCTTCATCTGAACTTATCTGAATCCCCTTTTCCCATACTTTTTAGCTAGTTTGGTTAAGAATGGTCCAGTGGCCTACAGAAGAAATAAAAATTATGTAAAGTAAACAGATGTGTGGTTGGACATACAAACAAATGGACAATAGGTGATCAGAAAATTTTACTTGAACTTATGGCTCAGATGAGCTAAAAAAGAGAAATCTCTAGTCTGGATGATTCTGTGTTACATAATTATGGCAACAACAAAATTTTAAATAGGTATGTAATAAGGATTTCCAAAATCGCTTCAATGGATGTTATCTATAAGGAAGGCAAAGCATGTTCTGGCAGTGTGTATCCTTAGATGCATCATCCATGCAAGTTTGGCCACCATAGGACTTACAGTTACTTAGGAATGAGGCCCGCTCAAAAAAGTTAACCTAGGAATATGTAGATCCAACATGAGCAAGTCTGGCACTGCCCCGTAGTACAAAGGGGGGGGGGGCTTCTTTTTCTGAGAATAGTGTTTTGTTGTAGTTTTTTTAATATGTAAAGTTTGATTTGGTACTTCCCCTGCTTTTGTAGCTGTAGAGTCAATCATAGGGAAATGCCAGTATTTGAAAGAAGTAAAGTACCAAAAAGTTAGAGACCCCCCCCCCCCGAAAAAGGACCTGATTTAGGAGTTTGGACAGCTTTTTTTTAGCTCACCTGAGCTGCAAGCTCAAGTGAGCTTTTCTGATCACCCGTTGTCCGTCCATCCATCTGTAAACTTTTCACATTTTCAACTTTTCTCAAGAACCACTGGGCCAATTTTAACCAAACTTGGCACAAAGTATCCTTGGCTGAAGGGGAGTTTTAATTGTTAAAATAAAGGGCCAAGTCTACTTATAAGGGAAGATAATCAAGAAAAGACAAAAATAGGGTGGGGTCATTAAAAAATCTTCTTGTCAAGAATTACTGGGCCAGAAAAGCTGAAACTTATATGGAAGCATCGTGGGATAGTAAAAATTCTAAATTGTTCAAATCATGACCCCCGGGGGTAGGGCGGGGCCACAATAGGGAATCCAAGTTTTACATTGAAATATATAGGAAAGTTTTTTAAAAATCTTCTCAAGAACCACTGGGCCAGAAAAGATTAAACTTATATGGAAGCATCCTGGGGTAGTGTAGATTCTAAATTGTTCAAATCAGGATCCCCGGGGGTAGGGCGGGGCAACAATAGGGAATCCAAGTTTTACATTGAAATATATAGGAAAAATCTTTAAAAACTTCTTCTCAAGAACCACTGGACCAGAAAAACTGAAACTTATGTGGAAGCATCCTGGGGTAGTATAGATTCTTAAATGTTCAAATTATGACCCCTGGGGTAGGGCGGGGCCACGATAGGTATTACAAGGGGGAAATCTGGTAAAGAACAGCATGGCGAAAGTTACTCAGGTGAGCGATGTGGCCCGTGGGCCTCTTGTTTTGGCTTGTCAACTGTTTTTTTTTTTTGGGGGGGGGGGGGGGGGAAGTCCCCCCACCCATTTTGAAAAATGTAACTACGGGCCTGGTGCTTCCTAACATGCGTCATCCATACAAATTTAGTTAATATATACATTATAGTTTCTTGGGAAAGATTCCAGCTCCAAAAACTTCAATCTGTTTACTCTTCTGGAAAATGTCGGTCAGATCCAGTATGCGAAGCAGGTTTGGTACTATGCATACACATATGCATCATCCATGCAAGTTTGGTCACCATAAGGCTTTCACCTATTTGAGAATAGATCTGCTACAAAATCTTAAACCTGTTCACTCAGCCAGAAAATGTAAGCCAGATCCAGCACCCGTAGGAGGTCTTGTAGTCTGAATCCTTAGATGCATCGTCCATGCAAGTTAGTCACCAGTTACTTGGTAATGACTTTCACCTGCTCATACAAGCTTTCACTTGGTCATTGTTCTTGGATATAAATGCGGAAAATGCAGCTCCTGAAATGTGACTGATACAATAAACACACTATATCTCTGATCAATACAGGGCTAAGAGTTGCGTGAAAATAAAACTGCTCCAAAAAGTGACGGGTGTGTTACAACGCACTTTGAAAATTACGCACTTTGAAAAAAAAATTCGAAGTGCGTTAAATTTGGGACCGAGTTAATGCACTTTAAAAAAAATATATTTTCATTTTAAAGTGTGTTAATATCGACCATATTATCGCGTTTCAAGGATTTCTAGTGGTTGTCCTGTTCCAAAAGGTTCTCGTAAATGATATAAAAGAGAAATGGGTCTTTTAGAAATAACGGAGGATTGATTGTTTAATAACACAATTTCGTTTTCTTTTTATTTTATCCAGTCTGTAATAAGTTTGGTAGATGTAGGGGTCGATGAATCGCATTTTTCTTAGGGAAAAAGGGGTGCTTATAATTTTCCCTTAAAAATAATTTTCCCGCAAAATAACAGTTATTTAGCAAAACCCGACAAGCCTTCGCAATGCTCACCAGTCTGGAGTTTCAGTAAGTGAAAGCACAAAGATCCGAATATTTAATACCAATGTTAAATCAGTGCTTTTCAGCAGGACTAGAACCAACATCCCTCCAGATCAAGAAACGAGCATGGCAGTGGATTGGTCATACATGAAGAAAGCCCCAAAACAGCATCATTAAAGAGGCAGTGGACTGGAATCCATAAGGTCAAAGAAAACAAGGGCGACCATTACACAGCTGGAGGAGAACAAGATTGAAAGAGCTTCAAAACATTGGAAGCCCTATGCTCCACAAGGAACGAAGAGGACTAAGTAAGTAAGTTAGAAACTAAACACTTCAATGTTTTAAACAAGAATCTGCAAGAAAACTGAAAATATAACAGGCGTGTCAGTTATAAGTTTTATTTAGTTATAAATATCATATTAAAATGCTAAAAAAAAAGACCTAACATACAGTAAAGTGTTCTAAGGGAATCATTGTTCGGCGTGTCTCCTTTCTCTTGTGAATAGTTTTCATTTTTTGTACAGTGATTTAGAAGTCTTTTCGGTCAAAGAGTTAGAATACCCAGTTGTTGAATTGTCTGCATTTTAAAGCAGTAGCATAATACAAAGTTAATATTGTAAAGACTCAATGTACAAATGTATGATGTGCTTCTTGCAGAGTGATGCAATACGGTTCATATTTCAAATCCGTCGTGATGTAAACAAAACAGCAGAGTATCTGGATAATCTTGAAAGTATTTTCTATGGTAGTATGTAAAATTCATCTGTCATCGGCCCATTGGAGTCACCTTTTCCATTAAATTATATAAATGTACACATGCAGAAGATATTTTGTCTATGGATAAAATCTGTATGTACAAATTTGGCCAATATTATTTCGTAATTATATGATTTAACACATTGAACAAATAATCAGTATTATCATTATTTGGGTGATCATTATACCGGTATAAATCACAGGTTTACGAATATGAACCACAAGTTTACAAAAACGAATTCATGTAACCAATTTTCGATTTTGAATATAAATCACAGTTTTATCGAATATATAAGATTTGTACAATAAGGCAACATTTTACACGCTATATTGTTGTAAGATAACCAAGTTGATCACTGAGTCTTTCAATTTTTCGTATTGATGTATTTTCGTGATCAACATGCCTTTCCCCTTTTGTATTCCTATGTAAAACTTTGATCCCCCATTGTGCCCCTTCCTACTCCCCGGGGGTCATGAATTGAACAAACTTGAATTTAAACTACCTGAAGATGTTTCCATATTAATACGACTAACCATGGCTTTGCTGTTCTTGAGAAAATTTTTAAAAGATTTTTACTTTATATTACTATGTAAAATTTGACCACCCCATTGAAGCCCCTCAATCTCC